CTGCAAAGTGGTATGATATTTATTCCATAGTAGCAGTGCACTGTAGCACTGTCCTCCCATTGTTCATCGATTTGCTGGAGCGGGGACCAGTAACGTCTCCATTGTGAAACTTGTTGTTACTGTTTTTGGCATATCGAATACATCACAGTTAGCTTGCCAGGCTTTACCGTGCGGGCGAGATACTCTCAGTAGCTTGCTGGGCTCTCCGAGAGGGGCATAGGAATCGAACCCAGGGCGGCTGGGCAGGCCGCGTGCAAGGCAAACGCCCTACTGCTGTGCTACTGCTCCAGCCCATGGTAACTGAGATATATGCCACTCTATGCAGAAGATCTTTGTAAGTTATCAACAGCATCTTTAAGAAGATATATTAGCTTATCTGATTCATATTATCAATAGAAGAGTCAAAATTAAACAATTAGGCCTGATTTTCTAGATAGTGATGCCCTACCCTAATAGGTCTAGAATGTATACCAAGAACATCAGCACTTCCTGAAACTATACCATGGACACATTTAATCATCAATAAAAATTCTGTGTCAACTCCACCTCCCTCACAGCATCATTTGTTTCGATTTTTCAGTTACTGAGGTGTTTAAAAAAAAAAAGGGGGGGGGGTATGGTGCCGCCAGCAAATCAATCTGTACCTGTGAGGCGAGTGCATCTGCAGTCTGATGGTGCCTTGAGACTTCCAGATAGCCCAAAATTGCTGCTGTGCCTTTGGCCAGACCCCAAAAACTTGGGGCAAAGTTTACCAAGAAAGTAATGGCCGAAAGTTAGGTATGTGGGAAACACACTCACAAACCACCTCTGGCTCAGCTATATAATTGGAGGCATGGCCTCTCTGGTTCCTGATTGAACTGCTTAATGGCCATGATCCCAGAGACTCAGAAACAAATCTCGAAACGCAGCGGCTTTTGGCAGAAATGCGTCCGGTCCCTGCACTAGGTTACTGGTAGTGGGCCAACACAGGTGGGAATAGATTTTGTGCCTTGGCTTATTCCCCCCGGTGGCCCAGTGGCCACTATCCTTTAGAGGCCACTGGACAGTCAGGTTTGGGCCTGCAGTGACGAGACACAAGGGGCCTCACCAGATGGGGGTGGAACCGGCTCTTTCCTCCCCATCCCAGCGAGACCCTGAGTCGCCGCCTACAAACGGCCTCTCTGGCTCCTGATCAAGCTGCTTAACGGCCATGATCCCAGAGATTCGGAAACAAATCTTGAAACCCAGTGGCTTTTGGCAGAAATGTGTCTGGATCCCACAGTACGTTACTATTGCCGGGCCAACCCAGGGAGGAAAGGGTGTTGTCACTCTGCCTGCTCCCCCTTGGCAGCTCTGTGGCCGTCATCCTCCAGAGGCCATTGGACAGTCAGGCTTGGGCCCGCAGTGACAAAACTTGTTGGGCCTCACCGGATGGGGTGGGGGGGGGAAGCCGGGCCTGTCCTCCCCACCCCAACGAGATCTCAAGTCATCGCCCATGAACGGCCTCTCTGGCTCCTGATCAAGCTGCTTAACGGCCTTGACCCCAGAGACTCAGAAAAAAATCTCAAAACCCAGCAGCTTTTGGCAGAAATGTGTCCGGACCCCGCAGTAGGTTACTGTCGCCAGGCCATCACAGCAGAGGAAGGGTGTTGTCCCTCCGCCTGCTCCCCCTTGGCGGCTCGGTGGCCGTCATCCTCCAGAGGCCATTGGACAGTCAGGTCTGGGCCTGCAGTGATGAAACTTGTTGGGCCTCACAGGATGGGGGTGGAGCCGGTCCTGCTCTCCCCGTCCCAACGAGACCCCCAAGTCATTGCCCACGAACGGCCTCTCTGGCTCCTGATTAAGCTGCTCAACGGCCATGATCCCAGAGACTCAGGAGCAAATCTCAAAACCCAGTGGCTTTTGGCAGAAATCCCTCCAGATTTAAGTGTTAAAATTTCGGAATTTCAAAACCACATGGCCCTACTGCAGCCACGCGAGATCATATGTTATTCATAACCAGCAATAGAACACAAATTATCTATTGTTGCCTTTTCAGCAGATCTGAGTGTTGGGGTAAAATCTCAAATAATAATGGTGGGTCTGATGTCAAAAAATTGAATGTGATCAAAGTAGAAAGAGAGAGTAATGTGGAAATCATCTGCCCCACAGGTAGGGGGAGGGTGTGGGATGGCGGTATACTGGGGTTTTTGGTGGTGGAGAATAGGCACTAATGAAGGTACGAGTGTTTCATTGTATGACCGAGACTTAAACCCAAAAGCTTTGTAACTGCTCTCATGATGATTCAATAAATAAAATTATAATAAATGAAAAAAAAAAAGTAAGGTCGAGTGGAGATCATGCACAATTCAATCAGCTAATCACTGGCTGAATAAATAGCAGTACTCCTACAAAAAAAAAAAAAAAGGCAAAAAATGGGGCCAGAGAGGTAGTTCACACTCAATAGGAGAAACAGATAAACATGAACAAGAGACAGTACCTTAAGAAATACTGGATGTGGGGCTCGAGAGATAAAACAGGGCACTTGCCTTTAATGTGGCCGACCTTGGTTCAATTGCCAGCACCCCATATGGTCCCCTGAGCACCACCAGGAATGATCCCTGAGTGCAGAGCCAGAAGCAATCCCTGAATACTGCTGGGTGTGCACCCAAAACAAAACAAAACAAAAAGGAAATACTGCATTTGGGAGGGTCCATGCTTTGATTGTACATAGCAGGGAAGGGAAAGACCTCATGATATGGCCCTCTTATGAAGCCTTTTAAGACAATGAAGCTGAACATGGATGGGGTCATCTGAGAAAAAAATGGAGGAAACAGGGTCCCAGAGGCAGAATTGTAAGACAGCGGCTGTAAGAGGTAACAAAAAGATAGAGGAAGTGCTCACAGCCTTGATTTTATTTCATGAGATGTTTTAGGAGGTTTGGACAAATGACATATAACTTTATTTTGGGCCAGAAAGATAATACAAGGGCTAAGGCCTTTGCCTTGCATGTGGTCAACTCTGGGTGAATCCCCTGGCACTGCGTACGGCTGCCCAAGCACCAGCTAGAGTAATACCTGAGTGCAGGGCAAGGAGTAGCCCCTGAGCACCCACCCTTGTATGTGGCCGCAAAATATATAAATTTGGAATTGCTAGTTCTGAGATATTTTGTTTAAAGAGATGTTAGATACAAGATATAATAGCAGAGAGCCCGGAGGATGGCTCAGTGGTTTAAAGTACCAGCCCAGCAAGCCCATTAGTCCAAAACCTGGCACAGCAGCTGCATGTGCTGTGGCCACCTTGAGAGCACCTTGACTGTGTGTTTCCCAGTGAGGGAGGAAACAAAGGTAAAACAGGATCTGTTCCAGCTAAGGATAGAACCCAGAGACCTAAATCTGCAGGCCCAACTCTCTCCTTCCTCTCAGGTAACAGTTTAATAGTTTAACAGTTTCAAGAGTGGAATTCAGACTTCCAGCTTCTGTAGCCAAAGAGCTTCATTATCTGCCCACATCTAACTTTTCAAAAAGCTATCATCAGGGAAGAGCAAAAAAGGGCAAATCAAGCTGCTGATGTATCATAGAGGGTGTGGCAGAAAAACAGGCTTTTTGGGAACCTCAAAAGGGGGGCTAAGTAAGACAGCATTAGAGGACAAACTTTGCATGTGTGAGGCCCTGGGTTTGGTCCCTGGCAAAACAAAAACAATAATAAAATAACACCTTTTAATAAACAATGTGGCCGGCCTACCAACTTAAATTTCAAAAAAATGTTTCCACCACCAGTGAAGGAACTTATATTGAAATATTGCATGCCTGAAATCCAATCATGAATAACTTTGTAATTTCACAGTGACTGAAAAAAATAATCCTTTCAATAATGTTACTTCATCAGTACTGACTTCTACTATAATCCTACTCATTCATCAAAGTCAACTTTGTAAGCCTTCCCTCCACCACCATTTTGACCCTTAACTGGAGTCTAAATACTGAGAGTATAAAGAACCTTCCACCAGGTCATCTAGCCCTAGTACACTAGTCATTTGACCCTCTGAAGATCATGCCGAGTCTATCCTTCTGTGAACAATTTTAGCAACAAATACACACTGGCAAGTAAGAATTCATGCTCTTTCAGAAGCAGGGTAATTATGTTTTCTTGTACCTCCCACCATTGGTTCTGCCTTCTGGTTCTGGGATATTACCCTTCTCCCAGCCTCTCCATTTAAGTAGCCTGAATATTGACAGTTGGGTTTTTGTTTCTCCCCACTTCATGTGTGACCTCTAAAAATCCTACTAATGGGTGGAGAGACAGTATAGCAGGTAAGGCACTTGCCTTGCATGCAGGTAATCCAGGTTCAATTGCCATGACCAAATATGGTCCCCTAAACCCTGCTGCCAGGAGAAATCCCAGCGTGTAGAGACAGAAGTCAGCCCTGAACATCACCAGAGGTGTCCAAAAACCAAAAATAAAATTATTAAAAAACAAATAAAAATTCTACTTATTTTCCAACCATCTCACAAGTGGTTTGCAGCACCTGCATCTGTAGTGACTAACCAACAGATCAAAGCTGGACTGCTGTCTATGCATGAGTCTGGTAAGGAGTCCCTGTCCCATGGCACTGATTACATCTCTTTATTTTCTCCTTTGTAATAATCTTGGAACTTTTACTTTGAGTCATTCACTCATCACACACTCTGATAAAAAAAAATCTACACAGCACTGTCAGGAACTCTGCTAGGTACTGACAAAATGAAATGAGCTCAGGCCACAGAAGGATAAGAGCAAGAGAGGTAAAATAAATAGCTGGGGAAGTTGAAAAAGCCTTTAATGGAGGAAGAGCTTTCTACCAGGGAGGAAGTCTCAACATAGCTTTGTTTGCCAGCACCACAAAGTTACCCACGCTTTGTCCTCAGCTGCAGTTCAGCATATATGCAAATGTGATAAAAGCAGAGCATGTGTACTCAGCCCCTTCAGCCTATCCTGGAGTGGAGAGGGGATGATCAGTCACTTCAGTCTGGCAAGAACAGTTATAATAGCCGATACTGTACCTGGTTACGTATAGTAGTGCTTGAATGGTTGTCCTCGGACATCTGTGCATTCTGGAAGTAAGACAAAGGTGCAGGTAACTCTGTCATTGGAGCAACTGTATAGAAATATTTTTTCACAGAAAACAAAGTCTCTTGGGGTTCTAAAAAGGGAAAAAGAAATCAGTTATTTGTACATTATAATTACAGTTTTATTATAAATGCTTTGATAATTTACTTAGGGAAAACAAACCTTTTTTTCATGTGTCCTCCTCCTGGCCAAGCTTTTTAGGGATTTCACAGGCTGTTGTCACTCACAGGTTCCCAGAATCAGTCTGAAATAGGATTTTACCAAATCACTCAAAGCTGGTCAAATCCCAGCAAATCTATTATACAAACCAAATAGTTAAAAATGAAAACAATAATCTGCAACCTAGAAGTATATTAATTTACCAAAATCTCAAAGTCACAAACTTACTATCAGTTACAGATACCACCTAGATAATGAATAGATCTACTTGAGAAACCATTTTGGTGCTGGGGACAGAATCCAAGACCTTATACATACAAAGCATCTGCTCTTAGCACAGAGTTACATGGAATCAACCCAGCTTTAGAGCCAAGGAACCTGAATGATCTTAAAGAATGTTCATAACTACATTACTTTTTCTATGCTAACACAACCTTTCCCATCTCCTTAAATTCTTGTCATAGGACTGAGGAGAGAACAAGGGCACAGGTGCTATAGCAGGCTCTATCTCTGGTACCACATGACCCCCTGAACACCAACAGGAAACCCCACAATCACATTTGCTTACCTTAATTTCAGTTAATTCTTTTGTGTATGGAGGAAGAGAAAAGAAGGAGAGGATGGTGGTGGTTTATATACCTAAAAGTATTAAAGGCTAGGGCTTGGGCAGTGCCCAGGGGTCCATGGCATGCTGAGGATTGAACTCAGAGCACCTGTGTGTGCTCTAGCTCATTGCCCTATCTCCCTTGTCCCCATCACCTTTCTTTGATTTCAACTTTCCTTCTCATAAAAGTTTTCAGAAATAGGGGCTGGAGCAATGGCACAGCGGGTAGGGCGTTTGCCTTGCACGTGGTCAACCCGGGTTCGATTCTCCCAGCATTCCATATGGTCCCCTGAGCACCGCCAGGGGTAATTCCTGAGCGCAGAGCCAGGAGTAACCCCTGTGCATTGCCGGATGTGACCCAAAAAGCAAAAAAAAAAAAATTTTTCAGAAATATAGAAGGAAAATACCTATTTGCATACCTATACAGTATTTGGAGGGCAGTGCTCAGGACACCATATGCGGTGTGAGGGACTGAACCAGGGTCAGCTGCACGCAAGGTAGCTGTCTTATCCAATGTACTATCTCTCTGGCCCTCCCTTGGGGTGTAATGGGCACAGTTTGGACTACACATGCCAGTGCTCAGGTCTGACCCCTGGTGATGCTCAAGGGAAACAATGTGAGACCAGGGTTTTAAATCTGGGTCACAGCCGCCAGAGCAGCATGTAAAATAAGACGTAAGAAGGCAAATATGTCTTCTTGTATTATGTCCCTGGCCTCCATGCAGTATTCTAAGTACATATTTATAAAAATTATTTTTTCAATGTACTATTTTCTTTTTTTTTTTTTTTGCTGGGTATGATTTGGGGGCCAGACCCAGCAGTATTCAGGGGTCTTGCTGGGTATGATTTTTGTGCCATACACAGCAGTGCTCAGGGACTACTCCTAGCTCTGTACTCCTTGTAGTACTTAGGGACCATATGGGATGTCAAGGATCCTGGGTCAGCCATGTTCAAGTCAAGTGCCTTCCCTGCTGTACTCTCGCTCTGGCCCCTATCTTATCGCACTTTTATCTTCATGATCCTCTGCCTCTAAACACTTTTTAAATTCCAAGGATTTGGAGAGGGGAAGCAGTAGCAGGCAGAGCTCCACCAGTAGTTCTTAGTCAACCAGGCTGGCAGGTCAATGCAAGGGACTGAGACGTGATGTTGGTCAGGCCCTGCAATGCCCGGGATACCTGGGCTGCTGGGGGCCTCCACAGCCATACCCAGCCATGCTCAGGAGATCATGTGATGCTGGAAATTGAACCTGGGTTGGGAACATGCTACGTATGCACCCTAACTGCTATACCATGTCCTGGCCCCGAAATTTCTATTTTTGCTTTTTCTTTTATTGGTTTGTTTTGGGGCTATACCCATTGGCGCTCAGGGCTTAGTCCTGGCTCTGCACTCAGTCCTGGCTCTGCACTCAGGGATAACTCCTGAAGTCTTGGGAGACCATGTAAGGCGCACCCTACTGCCATAATTTCATACTGTCCTCTCTCAGACAAATCTTGTAAGAATTATCAATAATACAGGGGGCCAGAGCAATGGAACAGTGGGTAAGACACTTGCCTTGCATGAGAAAGACCTAAGTTCGATCCCAGCAACCCATATGTTCCCTTGATCCCACAAGGATTGATCCCTGAGCACAATCAAGAGTAAGCATTAAGCATTTCCGGATGTGACCCAAAAACAAAACAAAAAGTCATCAGTATTATAGTAAAGGTAAAAGGTAAAGGCCCTCCCGTTGATCGTCGATTTGCTCGAGCGGGCCCAGTAACGTCTCCATTGGAGACTTTGTTGTTACTGTGTCTGGCATATCGAATACTCTCGGTAGCTTGCCGGGCTCTCCGAGAGGGGCGAAGGAATCGAACTCAGGTCGGCCATGTTGGCCGCTTGTAAGGCAAACGCCCTACCCGCTGTGCTATCGCTCCAGCAACTTTATTCCAATACTATTTTCACAAGTAAAACTTGTTAAAAAAAAAAACTAAACAAACAAAAAAAAAGAAACAAAAAACTAAACTAAGGCACAGGATAGGTAAAAGGATTAGCCAAAGCTAAACTATGGAACAAAATAATAGCACTTCTAGAACTCAGGTTTTCTAATGTCTAGTTGGCCTGGCTTTTCCCTATTCACCAGGGAAAGTTCATCCCTCTGCTGAGGCTTTGAAGATCACAATGCTACAGGATGACAGAGATGCTCTTTAGTTGAAGCTTTGGTAGGAAGCAGAGGCAGGCAACAAGACTAGCTAGGTCTTCAGTCAGGCCCAGTGAACAAATATACACTGTTGAGACAAAGAAAGGGGGCAAGGAAAGCCAAATTTCATTCTGGTCGATAAACAGCTCAAAACAATTGTTAATTGCACAGAAAAGGCCAAGGACCCCACTGAACAGGCATTGTTGCATGGAAAAAGACACTAGGGGAATTTTATAGCAATCTGAGCTGTGCCCTGAGAACATGTGACCTGCAGGAAGTGAGAGCAGGGACCAAAGTCGATTTTGCAGTTTTCTGCCACCTGCTAGATTTTCTGAAATAGACAGTAGAATACTTGAATTTACTTCCATCCACTTCCTTTTCTTCAAACACTTGTTCAATAAGACAAAAAGGGAAAAATAAAAAAATCTTACTCTGATGGGAAAATTCTACCATAGACAAAGAGACTAAGAAAAGTCCCAGGAGAACACAAATAATTTTGAAGGTTAGATATGCTGAAGAGAAAAGTCTGCCTAGTCTTTTCTGGGATCAAACCAGAAAACCTCCCACCTATCAGCACATCAAAAATATCACAGAGGGGGCAGAGATTTATGTGCCTGTTCAACTTAATTCAATCCTCAGCACCCCCTATGGTCCCCTAAGCCCCGTAAGGAGGGAGTGCAAAACCAGGAGTAAACCCTGAGCACTTCCGGCTATGAACCAAAACAAAAAGCTAAAAACCTGACTTAATGAAATGCCAACAGAAAGTATGTTTCTGTTTCTCGGTGCTTCTCAGGTAATAACTAAACCTTAAATTGGTACATTATAGTTAATTATTGATACCATTTTCTTCATTCACAGATGCAATGTAAACAAGATCTTTAGTCTGCAAATATAAATATCATGACAAAACTATCAAAATCTTCTCAAAAGAGTGTGGGGGTCAGAGCAATAGTACAGCGGGTAGGGTGTTTACCTTGCATGTGGCCGACCCAAGTTCAATCCCCGGCACCCCATATGGTCCCCCAAGCACCGCCAGGAGTAATTCCTGAGTGCAAAACCAGGAGTAACCCCTGTGCATCGCTGGGTGTGACCCAAAAATGCATAATAATAATAATAATAATAATAATAAATAAGGAGTGTGGTTTGTTTAAATGACTTGAGCTACTTGACTAGATTCTCTTAAAACTTTAGTCAAGAGGGGGCTGGAGTAATAGTATAGTAGGTAGGGCATTTGCCTTGCACATAACTGACCCAGGATTGATCCCCAGCATCCCATACGGTACTCAGAGCACTGCCACGAAGTATTTCTGTGCACAGAGCCAGGGGTAACCCCTGAGCATCATAGGTGTGATCCCAATCCCCCCACTCCCTCAAAAAAATCAAGAGGAGATAAGAGATAATATAGGGGATAAGATGCTTGTCTTGCATCAGGATGACCCTGGTTTGAGTCCCAGCATCACATACTCAAGTACCACCAGGAATGATCCTTAAGCACAGAACTAGGGGTAAGCCTTGTGTGGCTCAACCCTTTAGCCCCCAAATATCAAGGGAGATTAGAGAGACAGTACAGTACCTAAGGCACTTGTCTTTATGTGGCATTGCATATGGTCCCCTGAACATAAAGGACCACTTCTGTGTAGAAAGACAAGAAAAGGCTGGGTGTGGCACAAGTCTCCACTCTCCCATAATCAAGGGCACCAACAATAGTTTAAAGGGCAAGATTTCACACCTTACATGCAGCAGACCTAGACTTCAATCCCCAGCAATGCATGTCACACCCCCAAAGAGAAAGAAAAACTATAAAAAAACTCTTTAGGTTTTTGGGTCAACCTGGCACTACTCAGGGCTACCCCCCAGCTTGGTGCTCAGGGAACCCTATGATGCCATGAGTCCATCCAGAGCCTCCAGCATACGAAGTATATGTATCAGTCTTAAAATAATTTTTAAAAAATTTAGGCACCATGGCTAATAATATTGTTAATGACAGAGTTTCACGCATAATTCAATGTAATACCACACGTTCCACCTGAGTATCCATTTCCTTTCACCATATCCCTGTGTCCTATAGGTCCATCCACCACTCCCTTTTTAGTTATCTCCCCAACCTTCAAAACATTTTCTTTGGGCAGGGCAAGCACCTCCTAATTGGTGCTCAAGGGGGCCCCAGGGCCAGTTTCTGGTGATTACTGGCAAGATTCTTGGCTACTCAGGCCAGCAGCTCAATGCAAGGACCTGAGGCTAAAGTGCCACTCATTTCAAAAGTATTTTTTTAAACAGCCCACTGCTCTATGTAGTGTACACTGTACTCTCGTAGTGTACTCAACAAATATTTCGTATTTGCTTCTAAAATGAATAAATGAGGGTTGGGGGGGCAAAGCGATCATAGAGCGGGTAGGGTGTTTGCCTTGCAAGGGTCAACCTGGGCAGCATCCCATATGGTTCCCTGAGAACCGCCAGGAGTGATTCCTGAGTGCAGAGCCAGAAGTAACCCCTGAGCATCGCCTGGTGTGCCCCAAAAAAGAAAAGAGAAGAAAAAGAAGGGGCTGAAGAGATTAGAGATAGAATGCTTGCATTGCATGTGGCTGGCCCAAGTTCGATCCCTGGCACACCAACTAGAGTAATTCCTAAGTGCCTAGCTAGGAGTAACTCCTGAGCATTGCCGGGTGTTGCCCAAAAATAAAAATTTTAAATGAATGAACTTTAAAAGAATGAAAGTACCTTTGTACTATATAGCTAAGACATTTTCAAGTGCCAAGGCTTAGGATTAATTTTTTCCACAATTCTTGGTATAACTCTGACAAGCTTCTGAACAAGAAGCCAAAGTTCTGATTACATGAAGGACTGGAAAACTACCTGAGTTTTCAGAAGCTCTCATCCAATAGTAAATTTAACCATTATCCAACTTGCATTCTATAAAGTAAAAATAATCTGAAATTAACTTTAAACTTCAGAATAGATCATTGAAAAGACTGCTCCTAATTTTAAGGAACTAGGAGCAAACGATTTCCTTAGCCCTAAAACATGGTTTGTGAAGTAACAGACCAAAAAAAGAGCAAAGAAAAAAAAAGAGAGCAAGGAGGCTAGTAATATTCTATTTATTTTCCCCTTTCATCCCACTTCATTTCAGTGAACCATCTGTAGCAGATTAAATTTAAATGCAACAAATAATCCCTGTAGGGAATATTCTCTCCAATTATGTTAGGGGCTTGGTCCTATGATTTACTTTGTTCTCAGAGCAGGCAGAATCTACTGCTCACCATGCTTTGCGGGCAGTCAGGACTCACTGTGATCAACAGGGTCTCAGAAGATACTATTCCTATGCAGCCAGCATTGCCTTCTTTCACTTCTGCTCTTGCAGTGAGAAAAATCTACTGTGGATAGTCACTATCCCTTCAACCTGGGTCACAGAATAAAATAAAACACGCAAAGCAGAAATTGTCCTAGTTGACTCAAGGCCTACGTCATGAAGCAGAACCTAAGTGAGAACAAAGCCTCTAAAGCATTGAATTTTGTGGAGACCTGCTCTGCAGGTATCTGCACTGCTGGGGACAGAACCCAGGTCTTCTACATGTAGAACAGCTCTACCACTGAGACACATCCCTGTCCCAGAAGATACTATGAAAATAAACCAAGAAGGTCAGAGAGAGGAGCTAATATGATTGTCTTGCGTGTAGCCAACCTTGGTTCCAACCTCAGCATAGCAGACTGCCCTTAAGCAATGCCAATTGACCCCAGATCACAGAGCCAGGACTGAGCCCCAAGTACTGTTGGGTGTGGCTCAAAAACAAAGAGAAAAAAAGAAAGGAAAAGAAGAGAAAATGAAAAGGGACAAATCCAGAAAACTTATATGAAATCTTTAGAACTAAAGGGTAACTCCCAAGCAGAGTAGAGAGTAATCCCCAAACGCAACTGGGTGTCGCCCCAAAATACAAACCACCCCCACAAAATAATATATTCTTTAAATATATTATTCAAATTAATTTTAACCTATTTCTTTGGGGGGCATGGGGTTGAGGTCACACACAACGGTGTTCAGGGCTTACACCTGAGTCTGTAGTCTGGAAGTCTGGAATCACTCCTGACAGGATTCATGGTACCATATGGGGTGCCGGAGATCGAACCCCGGTTGGGTGCATGCACTACAAGTACCTGACCTGCTGTACTATCTCTGGAGCCCAATTTTACCTACTTCTATTTTTTTTTTTTTTTTTTTTTGCTTTTTGGGTCACACCCAACAATGCACAGGGATTATCCTGGCTCTGCGCTCAGGAATTATACCTGGCGGTGCTCAGGGAATATGGGATGCTGGGAATCGAACCCAGGTTGGCCCCGTGCAAGGCAAACGCCCTACCTGCTGTGCTATTGTTCTAGCCCCTCACCTTCTTCTATTTTTTTTAAATATCTACAGGAAAACGCACAAGATTTGTAGGTCTTATTGCTTCTACTGATAGTACTATATGAATCTTCACTATTCAAATACCAAAAAAAAAAAAACAGCATGATGTTCAAAATCTCTGATTACCTTATCCTTCCTGGGGTTTCCTCAGCTCTGTGACATGCAAGTATGGAAGTTCTGCCTCCACTCACTATCTCAGCTGGCTACTCTTCCATCTTCCTCCTTATAGGTCAGCCCGGTCTCTCTGTCCCCTTTCTTCAGGAGTATCCCCCACTGCTCCAATATTAACCAGCAACGATGGTCCTTGTTTATGGCTCCAGGCCCATTTATGACTTCATGGGGCCCGTTTCACCCAATGGGCTTTGCACTTCCAACTACTTCCTCATGTTCCTCTCTAGGTCTCTGCTCCTTAATTTCTGATTTCTAAAACTTCACCCACCTCTGCAAACTTAAATCCTCCCTAGTCAACTTTATTCTTCGCTCCTTGTTCAAGGGGCAAGGCTCAAGCACCACTGAGGGGCAGACCTGGGGGTAGCCGGAGAGCACTACCGGATGTGGTCCAACTCTCCAGCCCCCTTCCGGATATTCTATTCCCTGTTCAACCGGTTACTTTGTCGTCCTCTCTGTCCTTTCCTCCTTCCTGAGAGAAGCTCAAATTCCCATCTTCCCTCAGTTCTGATCCCAGCCCCCTCCCGAGCACAGCACCTTCAGCAATGCTGGCCCCCCAGCGCGATGCTCCAAACATCTTTCAAATGTGCTGAGTTCGAGTCCATTAACTGAGCAGCATTAGAGTGTAGTTCTAGAATGCTATTTTGTCCGAGTATGAGTTGGTGTGGCCGTACAGAGAGTAGCACGGGGTGCCAGGACTGGAGATAAAGTGGGCACCTGTCCACCTTCTCACAGTCCCTCGCTCAGAGCCCAGCAAGTCTCCCAGCCTTCAGTTCTGCACAAAAGGATATTCATGCCACCCTTAGTTAATCTAAGACTAACTTAAAAAAGTTATTAACTTAAAAAAAAAAGTTGGTGCCAGAGCGACAGTATGACCGTAGCAAAGCACTGGCCTTGCTTACATGCAGCCTACCAAGCTTCAATCTTCGGCACCCCATACAGTCCCCCATGCCTGCCAGGAATCAGTGACCCCTGAGCAAAGAGCGAGGAGTACCCTTGAGCACCTCTGAGTATAGCCCAAAATAAATAAATGAATAAATAAATAATTAAAAAGCAATAAATCTTAACCATTCGGACAAAAAGTATACCCACTGGGGCTGGGGCGATAGCACAGCGGATAGGGCGTTTGCCTTGCACGCAGCCGACTCGGGTTCGAGTCCCAGCATCCCATATGGTCCCCTGAGCACTGCCAGGAGTAACTCCTGAGTGCAGAGCCAAGAGTAACCCCTGTGCAACGCCAGGTGTGACTCCCCCAAAAAAGTATACCCACAACACTGGGCAGAGAACGTCTGCCTGTCCTAGAACCAGAGTTGCCAATGGATAGACCCAGAGGTCAGACCCTCCCGGGCACCCAGCCCCAGCCTCTTTTTTGGGGGGTGGAGGTGGGGTGGTAAGATCCAGGCCCTCGGTAAAACAAGCGCTCTTGATAGTCGAGGGCTTGTGAAACCGGGTGGGTGGGACTCGCTGTCTTAAGGAGAAACCAAATAGGCTTTTGCAGGTGACTGGAACCAACCGGCCAAACGCCAGGTGCCCGGTAAACATTGCTTGCCTGATCCTCCGTCCCAAGTGTCCGGGGCGGGCCCGGGCGCTGACCCCCTCCCCTGAGAACGGCCTCCAAATTTCACCTCTTGGTGAAACCCTGTCAAGGGGAACTCCGGTGACAAGGTGCCCTTCGCGGGATGCGCCTCCCGCCTCTGTCTTCCCAGCCTCGGCTCTGCCAGGGTCTCCGTGCCGCCCCGGGCCGGCAGAGGCTGTGAGAACGCTTACTTTCCGACCCAGCAGCGGCGAGCTGAGAACGTCCGGGGCTCGCTCGGACGGACAGACGGACGGACGGCCAGGCACCGATTCCTTCCACGCCCGGGACGGTCCCGACTCAGCCCGCCCCCGTCCTCCAGCGACCGGGTCCTCCAGCTGGGAAGGGGCCAGGGACCGCCCGCCGCTGCCCCCGCACACAGGGACGCGCGGGGCGCCGGGCGCCGAGGGAGTTTCACCAGTTGCTCCACCCGGAGAGCGCAGGGGCGCTTCCTCTTTCTCCTGTGAGGCGGCTCCATCCCGGCCCCGGCACCTGCTCCCGCGGCCGCCGGCGGAAACCCGCACTTCCGGAGCCGGGCGACCCCGAACCGCGCGCCCGCTCCGCTCCGCTCCGGCCGCCCAACAAACGGGCCGCCCCCCGGCGTTCCGACCCGCCGGCTCCGCGCCCCCCGGCCGGCCGCGCCCCACTCCTCTTCCAAGGCGGCGGCTCCGCCGCGGCCCCGGCGCCCTCAGGCGGGCCGAGGCCGGCGGCCCCACCCCCCCACCCCCCGTGTGTCTGTGTGCAGGCGCCGGACCAGTGTCGCCTTCCGACTCCTCACTCCTTCCCCATCACGCACCTACTCTTTCCCCGCCGCCGACCGCTCGCCGCCGGGCTTCCTTCCTGAGGAGCCGCTGTTTTGTTTCCGATGTGAAATCGCGGACCCAGGAGCAGCCCGGCTCAGGCCCCGCCCAGGAGCCTTCACCGCTGGCGTCATTTCCGGCTTTGGCGTCGTTGGCCCAGAGCCCAAAAGCGAAGGGGGTGGGGGAGGAAGGGCGGGGCCTGAGGCTCGCGAAGGGGCGGGGCTTCCGGGAACGCGCTCGGAGGTCGGCCGGGGGCGGGTGTGGGGGAAGAACCCTACGTGCCAACCAACACCTGGGAAGGATGAGAAGTCCGCCCCGTGAAGTTGAGGTTGTCAGGAATTGGGGCAGCACTTGGGTAGAGAACCAAAGTTTCAGTGTCCTGACATGTTAAATCTCACTCTCTTTTCATTCCTTGTATTTGTAGTGTTTCTTGGATCCAGTTGCATCAAGAGGATGGTACCAAAAAATTGCAAATACCTCTACTCTTCCCTCATCCCTACCCAGTGAATCTATACTTCTGGTGAGTAAAGGAAAGCTTAGGAAACTGCCTTGTGAAAAAGCATTCTTTGTGATTCTTGGACTCCAAGTTTAGGTAGTAAGTTTCCAGAGAACAAAATATTTCTTGTAACCCCCAAAACCGATTATCTGGTACTCAGTTGTGCAATGACGACTCGACTTGAATCTGCCAGTTTTTCATCCAAATTGTGACAGAGAGAGTACTAAAAACTCTTTTTAAAATTTTTTTTAAAAACCCGTGGTGCTCAGAACCGTGCGGTGCCGGGGATACAACCAGCTTTCAACATTCAAAGCCTGTGCTTCCAAGTTACCTCTCTGCTCCAAAATTAACTCCTTAAATAGCAATGCCACATTTACATACTCGTATGAAAGCTAAAAGGTAAATAGCAAATATACAATATAAAATCAACGATAGATGGGATACGGCATTTAAATCCCTTTCTGACTTCTTTCTTTGCTGTTTTGGGCCATACTCAGCCAGTGCTCGGAGGTAAGTTATTCCTGGTGGTGCTCTGGGGACCATATAGGTTGCAGCAGTGGATGGAACCAGGGCCTGCCACCTTGTGTAACGCAAAAACCCTACTCGCGCTGTTCCGGCCCTTAAAGGTAAAGGTAAAGGCCCTCCCGTTGATCGTCGATTTGCTCGAGCGGGCCCAGTAACGTCTCCATTGGAGACTTTGTTGTTACTGTGTCTGGCATATCGAATACTCTCGGTAGCTTGCCGGGCTCTCCGAGAGGGGCGGAGGAATCGAACTCGGGTCGGCCATGTTGGCCGCTTGTAAGGCGAACGCCCTACCCGCTGTGCTATCCCTTAAATCCCTTTTATATTATTACTAAATCCCTTCATATTCCTAAATCGATCTCCAATTCCTTCCAGTAACTTGATTTAAATAGGTTCTACACACATTATCCCCATTATGGAGGGATATCGAGGAAATAAAGATTCCTTATTTGGGACTTTTTTTTTTCTTGGTTTGCTTTAGTTTTTTATTTGTTTTGGGATCACTCCTCGCGATGCTCAGGAATTACTTCTGGCTTTGCACTCAAGAACATACTCCTGGGCTGGAGAGATAGCACAGCCGGTAGGACGTTTGCCTTGCACGTGGGCAACCTGGGTTCGATTCCCAGCATCCCATATGGTCCCCTGAGCACCACCAGGGGTGATTCCAGAACCAGGAGTGACTCCTGTGCATTGCCAGGTGTGACCCAAAAAGAATATATATATGTATATGTATATATATATATATATATATACACACATATCACACACACACACACACACACACACATATATCACCGTCACGGTCCTCCCGTTGTTCATCAATTTGCTCGAGCGGGCCCAGTAACGTCTCCATCATGAGACTTGTTGTTACTGTGTTTGGCATATCGAGTACCTCACAGGTAGCTTGCCAGGCTCTGCCGTGCGGGCGAGATACTCTCAGTAGCTTGCCGGGCTCTCCGAGAGGGGCGGAGGAATCGAACTCGAGTCGGCCATGTTGGCTGCATGCAAGGCAAACACCCTACCACCGTGCTATCACTCCAGCCCATACATATATATACATATATATATACATAAATACATATATATATATTCCTAGTGGTATCAGGGGGTCCTATGCAATGATGAAAGATTGATAAAAGATAAAACCTAGGTTGGCCACACACAAGGCAAGCACCCTACCCTCTGTACAATCACTCTGACCCCTAAAAGAAGGCATTTTAAAATTCCTCATCTCCTCCTTCAAAATTTCCAAAAGTGAGATACTGTCTGCTAACTTATACATTGTTAAGAGCTGAGAATGGTGTCTAAAATAATTATATGCATCTGTCAAGAACAAATCTTTTGAAATACAACTGGTAATATGAGTAATAAGGTCTCAAAATGCTAATTCTTAGAAATAAACCCAACACAGAATTACTTTGCAAATTTTCATGGAATTCTGTTTACAGCAAAAATTGGGAACCATCTTGTGCCACCTGCTTCACAGAATATCATTTTGGGTTTACTATAGGACTACTCCCAGCTCAGTGTTCAGAGTTCACACTGGAAATTGATTTGGGGCCCAAGGAATTGAAACCAGGGCCACTATTATGCAAGCAGTGCTGCTCTTCCATTGAGCAACACCAAAATGGGAGCTAAAGAGATAATGCAACAGGTAGGGGTCTTGCCTTCCAAATAGCCAACGTGGGTATGTCAGAACCCCTGAGCCCCAACAGTAGTGATCCATTAGCACAGAACCTGGAGTAAGCTCTGGGCATTGCTGATGTGGCTCAAAAACCAAAATAATAATAATAATTTAATAAAAATCTAAGATTTATGTGTAAGAGTGACCATGTCAAAAACACATTCCAGCATAAAGAGGAGGAGAAAAGAAGTTATGGAGTCAGAGACAATTCAAAGGGCTAAAGCACATGCTTTGCATGTATGAACTGAGGATACCACATTTGATAACACACATGATCCCCTGAACATTGCTGGGAACAATCCCCAAGCACTACAGGGTATCACCCAAAACAAACAAAAATTACAAACAAAAAATATGTAACATTTGCAAAATTTCTTCAGTTCTCTATCTTAGGGATATGAACTCTATCAGGATGAATGGAGAGGGAGCAGCCAAAATAAAACCAGCTGGCGAAAAAACGAAGCAGACAAGGTAGTGATGTATCCTAGGAACTGAGTATGTCCCAAGAGAGAACAAGTGACCATACTTCTAAGAGACAGTGTACGTATTTAGAAGAATCTTTCAGTCACCAGTGGAATACTGAGGTACAAACTAGATTAAGTTCAAATACTTGAGAAATTAGGGATGCACACTTAAGTTTCTCTGCGGAATCATGGGATTGTGGAAAGGAAACAGGAACCAAGATTAAGGGATTTTTTCCTTTTTTCTTTTTTATTAGTGAAACACCATGAGGCACAGTGGTAGATGTACATATTTTTGTGTTTGTGTTTCAGTTATACAATGATCAAGTACCCATGATTAAGGGATTTTTGTGTATATTCCAGACTACAGTGGTTGGGCCAGAGAGAGAGTACAATAATTAAGGTGCTTGCCACAGTTTAGGCAACCACAGCATCATATACCACCATCAGCAGTAATCCCCGAGTGCAGAACCAGAATTTAGCTCCAGGAACAGCCAGGAGTGGCCCAAACCCAAAACAAAACAACGAATATAAGACTTAAAAAAAAAAAAAAGCAGAATATATTTAGGAATCTGGGTCTATGGTGTTCTAGATAGGATGGAATGTCTCATTTATTATATAAAAAAAAAGGTATAGCAAGGCTGGAAAGATAGCACAGGGGGTAGGGCATTTGCCTTGCAGGAGGCCGACCCAGGTTCGATTCCTCCGTCCCAATCGGAGTGCCCAGCAAGCTACCAAGAGTATCCCACCAGCATGGCAGAGCCTGGCAAGCTCCCCATGTAGTATTGGATATGCCAAATCTATTATAGCAATGAGATTTAAAAACAAAACAGTAAAAGCTGCAACATGTGGTGGCAGGTACCTAAATCCAATGAAACAAAACAAAACAAAAAAAAGCACTAGAGGTCTAAACTATGCTAGATTGACAATTCCCCCTAAGTGTCCAGAGCTTTAGAGGCAGACATTTGGGAATACGTGATAGCTATGGCAAAATCTAAGAGCAAAGATTAACATTAAGACAAGAGGAGGGGCTGGAGTGAGAGCACAGCAACTAGGGCACTTGCCTTGCACGCGGCCGACCCGGGTTCAATTCGCAGCATCTCATGTGGTCCCCCAAGCACCAACAGAAGTAATTCCTGAGTGCAGAGTCAGGAGTAACCTCTGAGCATCACTGGGTGTGACCCAAAAAGCAAAAAAAAAGAAAAAAAAAGAAAAAAAAAGAAAAGGAGAGGGAATTCAGAGTGCTTTTGAAAACTAATAGGGGGCGGGGTATGGTGCCGCCCAATCTGTACCTGTGAGGCAGTTGCATCAGCAGCCTAATGGTGCCTTCAGAATTCCAGATACCCCAAAATTGCTGCTGTGCCTTTGGCCAGACCCCAAAAATTTGGGGCAAAGTTTACCAAGAAAGTAAATGACCAAAAGTTAGGTATGTGGGAAACACACCCACAAACCACCTCCGGCTCAGCTATATAATTGGAGGCATGGCCTCTCTGGTTCCTGATTGAACTGCTTAATGGCCATGATCCCTGAGACTCAGAAACAAATCTCAAAACCCAGCGGCTCTTGGCAGAAATGCATCCGGTCCCTGCACTAGGTTGCTGGTGCTGGGCCAACCGAGGTGGGAATAGGTTTCGTGCCGTGGCCTGTTCCCCAGCGGCCCAGTGGCCACCATCCTTCAGAGGCCACTGGACAGTCAGGTTTGGGCCCCCAGTGACGAGACACGCAGGGCCTCATGTGATGGGGGTGGAGCCGGGCCTGTCCTCCCCACCCCAACAAGACCCCAAGTCATCGCCCATGAACGGCCTCTCTGGCTCCTGATCAAGCTGCTTAATGGCATGATCCCAAGGACTCGAAACCCAGTGGCTTTTGGCAGAAATGCGTCCAGACCCCACATTACGTTACTGTCACAGGACCACCCCAGGGAGGAAAGGGTGTCGTCCCT